AGACAAAATGTAGCATTTCATTAGCTTAATATAAAATAGATCAAACACAACATTACATTTTTAGTGTGGTATAATCACAACCAATATTTGGGGTAGTCTTGAAATAAGAATTAAAGATGTTTCATCATTATCACACTGTGGTAGATACCATTTCATTGTTATTTTTTTTTTCTCTAGATTGTATTAGAGTTGTGATTGTTTTATTCATATTGCTGTATCTCACTCTGATTCACTGGGAGTAGACAGACTAACAGTGTAAAGGAGAAGGAGGGACTGACAGACGGAGTTTGATGTCGGGTCTTTTATAATATGAAACAGCCAGACTCTGAAAGACAGGCTCCCTCCCTAGTGTCTGGGGGTAGTTTCTATGTGAGATCTCGAGCTTTGAATCAACTCGCTCCTTCATGCATCTAAAGATAGTCGAGACTTCTGGAGAGGTCCTGGCAAATAATTTCAAAAAATAAAATATTGAAAGAACAGCTGTTTTTTTTCTCCCCCTTCCTCTTAGCCATCGGTACTCTCTGTTCTAGTCCGCCTCTCCTTTTGAAGAAGCTCTGATCTTACTTACTTACAATACAGGCTGGTTAGGGTTTCTGCTTTTATTTTTTTGTCTATTAATGATAAAAAAAAACACATAGTATTAAAAAAAACTATCCCACCATATATTATTATTATTATTATTAGTAGTAGTATTTTTGATAATAAAAAATACTGTGTTTATGATTTGTTATGTATTTAGTTATGTGATCACATCTTCCCACCTTAGTGTGAAATCCTCTGCCAAGACGAGTCTAAAATTACAGTTTTTCAGCTGTACTATTGAACACTTCCTGAAAATGAAACGTTGTAATTCTGCTGTTAACTTCATCTGTTAGCAGGTTGGCATTTCAAAGGCATTTCTAAACATTCAGACAGTTTCACAGAGGATACAAGATACTGTGTGAGGAGATGAAATGTTTCCATGCATGATGATCTCCTACAGAGACTCAGAGTGCATATAGGGAAGACATAGTGAAAGCGAAGTATGGATGCGACATCGATTTTCAGTTATTACTTCTCAAAATACACATTTTAATTGAGCTGCTTTAATCAAATCATGAAGATAGAGCAACGATCTTAAAATGCATTCAGCTCGCATGTAAGAAATATGCAATCGCCTCCACTGGTAAAATAATTTACAACGCTACAGACTGCCTCTGCACAGGATGTAGGGTTTAAATTTGAACTTTGCAAGAGCCGCCCCTCTTTAGCACTTTTTTACCCTTTCAGCTCGTCTTAAAGTGACAGAAAACAGCCTTGAGCACTTGCTGGGAACAGCTCATGAACTTAATTTCTTTGACAAAATCTGATTTTTTTTTCACTAACACTCGCATGTACTAAGGACTGATAAAAAATACATTAATTTGAAATCTATCCTGCTCAATTCTCCTGCGTGCTGCGGCTAAAGGGATACATCCTGACAAAGTCCAGATCCCAGCAGAGCTTGTTAGGTTATGAGATACACTCCTGCACAGCCGCTTTCCCCTTCCTGCATCTCTCCCAGAGGAAACCGTATGAATGTCGACATGGAGCCAGATGGAAGTGAAGCTATGAAACAACACTATAGGCAGTAAAACTGCGGAGGTCCATTGTTAAGTCTGGTGGGAGCTATTGCTCGGCGCTGGGTTTTAAGTGAACCATTAACACTGTTGCACAAATAATGGCAGCAAAGAAAGTGGTGCAAAAAAAACGGAGGTAATCCTGAGTGGACATCAAAACTGAAAACATAAATAAACGAGTCTCCAAAAGGCCTTGTAACGCCTCATGAAAGTATCCGAACTCCTTCAGCTTTTCCGCTGTTTGTTTCATCAAGTCAGTGCACTTTAGTTTGTTGTAGTTTTATAGTTTAAACCTCAACTTGGGCACAAAGAACAGCTTTCAAAATCCTTAACAAATACATGTAAAGTGCTGCATAGGTTCAGCTTCTTTTTAACCTTAAATTCATATATAAATTCAGTGCTGTAGTTGGTTTGAGAACATGATAACAAAAACACCACAATGAGCAAAGAACCAACAAGTCAGGGCAGGGATAATGTTGTAGAGAGGGTTAAAGCAGGGTTATCTTATAAACAATATGTTAAGCTTTAAGCATCTCATGCAGCATAGTTCAATCAAATATCCTAAAACAGAAACAGCATAGCAGAAAAAGGCCTGTCACGATAAAAGAGTTTGTGGGACAATAAGTTTTCCCAGAAGTTACTGCAATAAATGATAATGTTGTTTTGAGACTGCTTAAGTGATATATTAGTAATGGATATGAGAATACAGCCTCTCAAAGATCAATAAACTTTAATTTCTATGGAACATTTAACATTGAAACCGGAAGACATTTTAAAAATCCCAAACAAATGAACGAAACCACCAAATAAAATGGAAAGTGATGTCTCTGAAAATAAAATGTCCCTTCATAAAAGGGGCTGGTTGATTCCAATGAGTCAGACTGAAGCATTTTGTCATCCGGACTTTGAAATAGTTGGAGATGATAAAAAAAGATAAAATAAAAACAATCATGCAAATGGAAATGATCAAGCTTGTTTTAATTTATAACGGAATTAATTGAGCTATAGCTTATTACGACAGGCCTAGACACACAACCTGCCAATACATGGCAACTAACAACTAAATTCACAGGCTGGGCAATGAGGGTATTGATCAGAAGAAAACAAGAGGCAACTCTGAAAAACACAGGAAGTATCAGGTGAGGGAATCTGTAAACGGTAAAACTATCGGTAGTGAACTCCATAAATGTGCTTTTTACGCAACAGTGGCAAGAATAAAGCCTTATAGTTGCGAGTTAGCCACAATAAGCCGAGTTCACAGTTTGCCAAAAGCCATGTAGAGAGCACAGTAAAACGGGTGGAAGAAAGTTCTGTCCTCAAACTCAAGCTGAACATTTTTAGTAAAGCTACAAATCTAAACAAGAAGGATCTGGTGGCCAGTATAAAAAAAAACATGTGGAGGCACAAAACTGGACAGTCCATCTCCATGGTGAAACATGGCAGTGGCAGCATCATACTGTGAGAACAGAAGGATCAGATCTGAGTTTCACGTTTCAGCAGGAAAACAACCTCAATCTCCTAAAACCCAAACTCTTATTTACCCTTTGATATTTGGGCTGATTGGGACCTTTTATTGCAAAAACAACAAATGACCTATTTACAAGATGTAGTTTCTGAGAGAAATCGTGTTTTTCAAAGCGTCAACCGGGGCTGCCTACAAACACATGCAAACCTTTTCAGATTTCCACTTGAATAAACATTGAAGGTGCAGAAGTTTTCCTCCTTTTCACAACTGTGTACTATTCTCTGTCACAAAAAATCACGAGAAAACACGTTGGGTGTAATATGTGAAAATGTGAGAAAGTTCAAGTCGTATGAATACCAAATTCTTACATGAAAAGAATTTAGTATTCTTTTCATGTAAGCATACCAAAGGACCAAACAACAAACTACTGTCAAACTGGATTTTTTAAAAAGGAACTTTACTGTACCTCATCTAACTTATCACATGGAAAGACACAAATACAGCTTAATGCTTTGTTGGGAAATGTTTATTTTTTTTTTAGTTTGATGTATAAACATGAGAGGTTTCTTTCACCCATCCCCCTCCCTCTTTGGGATGATGCAACAAAAACAGTCCAAGGACTCGAAGAGGAACCATTTTCCTTGTGGTTTTAATGGATTCACTTGAAGTTAAGACAACAACAACAGCAGCAGCAGCATTTCAGCAAGTTTCATCACTTACAGGAACCATATAGAGTTCAAAGTCTCATGCTAAAACTAAACAAGTTGGCTCAAACGTCACTTTAGTTTAGATGAATTGTGACACCTGGTGTGTTGGGAAAACTATTTCGTGAACAGACGGATGCATTGTCAGGAGACCACATCGGAAAAGGTTAACAACTGAAAATGTCATCATCGTATATTTACAAAGGCGTGACTTTACATGAATGCCAGAACGTTACGATGTTATTACCAACTTTTGTTCCGCATGCCAAAATCCGTGTTCTCAGATTGGTTTTAGAGGAAAACAACACAAAAAAGGTGATATGATAAACTTCCTCACAATTTCCTCCTAACCTTAGACAAAGCCCTGGGCTCATTCTTGGTCTTCTCCATACATTATTCATCAGTTCGGGTGCAAGGCAGAAACAGAAGAAAGAGGTAGAAATCAACATTCAAAGAGTCCTAATCTAAAATCCAAATAAAAAAATCTGCTGAAAATTACAAAGCCCTTCTGGCTGCTTCTTCTTTTTTTAACTCCTTTTTGCAGGATAACAACCTGAAATTTGCATTCATTCAGTTAGCAGATGCTTTTATCTAAAGTGACTTGCAAGGAACTACATTCAAGCCTCGGCACACCAAGAGGCTCTGACACACACATTATGTGCTATTTAAAAAAAGACAGTACAAGTGGAACAGGTACAGACGTGCAAATGGAGAAGAACAGGTTAGGTGGGCTTGAAAGTGAAGGCAAAGCCTGAGATGGCCATAGAGGACAATATTTATCAAAGTCATTCAGCGGTTGGGAATGAGCATGAAAGTGCATTATACTGTATATGACCGAGCGGGGTGCAGACCCCACTGCTTGCCTATGGGTTGTTTACTTCAGTGTGAGTCTGCTGGGTGACTCATGTCCCTTATTGGTGGATTTAACATCAGACATGTAGGGATACTGTGAAGCACTTGCAGAGGTTTCACAGAGAACTGCTCAAAGAGGATGTGAACAGTAGAGACCGACCTGCAGCACACAGTGGTGCTTCCAAATGCACAGCAAATTAATTTAACCCTGCAAGCTCTTGGCCATGTTTTGCTCTTACATTCCCCACAAATGAAACGCCAAATAAAGGACAGCGTCACGCTTTTTTCATTTTGGAGACTATGCATCAACTAGCCAATTCCTACATGGCTGCCTTGCTTGTCCTTGACACACGCGTCATGTGTTCATTAAGGTTAAAGTACCTGTCACGACGTCAGTGTGCTCTTGGGACATGTGCTGGCTCTGGTGGACCCATTCACCGTTGCACTTGAAGAAGATTTGGAGCGCGGGCCGGGCCTGACACCTGAGCTTGATGGGGTTGCTCTTGATGATGTAGGCATCGACGGGCTCCTCCAAGAAGCGCGGCAGGGTTCCCGACTGGCCATGTTGCAGGGCTTCACCTCTGGGGCCTGAAGGGGGGAAAATATGAAAAGAAGAGACGAGTGAAACGGAGTCCATAAACAAAATGCATCGAATGTTATGCTTGTTTATTTCTGGCAGTAAAACAATTGGTTTCAGACATGGTTTTCTCCAAGGTGCCAACATGAAGTTATCTTTTGATGAAGCAGTATTACAGTCCAGAACTAGATTAACCAGTTTTGCATTGCTCCTGGTCTTTTACGAACAAAAGAGAAATCCTACAACCACTAAAATCTGACTCTGCTCTATTTTTGTTTACATTTCACAAAGAAAGAAGTTGCACTCATGTCTTCATCAGGGATTTTCTTGCCTTTCACTTCGGTGGTTCTTGGTGCAGCTCCACCACATGTGAGGGAGGAACAGGTCTTTCAAGGATTTGGATCATTTGACACAAAGCAGTGTGAAAGAGAACATCAGCAACCATGGGCGTAGGAAGCGGGG